TAAAGTCCATACCTTTAATCATAATCATAAAGCATCTAAGACAACGTAAATCTCAATTCATTATGCGACTGTAATAGAACATCATAGGGACATCATAATTTTTACCTCTATGGATAAACATTCATTTAGAGACTGAATATGCACCGTTGTTTTTATTATTATCATTGCTAAGGTTTTTGATAAGATGATACCATAGAGACAATCTTTTTGTATTATCTTTTTATATAATTTTTACATATCATTAAAAAATTGAATGTATTTAATATCATGAATCTCATATAAATTAAAAAACCAATCATTTTAAATCAAATTGTACAAAAAAAAACAAAAAAAACAAAAAGATTATAAAAAGATCATTTCCCTTTTTTATAGAACCAAGTGGCTTTAGAAAGAAATTAAACAGGCGTTGGCCAAAAAATGAAATAAAATAAAAATACGATGAGAGGCAAAAATAATCTTCAGCATAGGCCTACGACAACTAAGAACGTCAGGGCATCAAATAAGTTAAGCATTGGAAAAAGACATCCTATCAGAAGACTCATGCAGCAGCTTGGGCTGCAACTGCAAGCCTCTTCCTGGCTTCCTCAATGATGGACAACTTGATACCCTTGCCCTTTGGAAGTTGCACCCACGGCTTTGTCCCTTTGGCAATGGTGAACACGTTGCTTAGCCGAGTTGCAAGCTCGTGACCTGTGGCATCTTGAATGTGGATTGTCTCAAAGCTAACCTTGTGCTTCTCTCTGTTCTTCATGACCCCAACACGCCCTCTGTTCCTTCCTCCTGTCACCATAACTACATTGCCAACATCAAACTTGATGAAGTCGACAATTTTGTTGCTCTCTAGGTCCAGCTTGATTGTGTCATTGGCTTTGATGAGTGGGTCTGGATAGCAGATGGTACGACCATCATAGCTGTCAAGGTATGGGATCCCTTTCTGGCCAAACTGGACAGTTCGAACTTTGCAGCCATAACTACATTGCCAACATCAAACTTGATGAAGTCGACAATTTTGTTGCTCTCTAGGTCCAGCTTGATTGTGTCATTGGCTTTGATGAGTGGGTCTGGATAG